TTTATTAGCACCAGGTCACCACACTGTAAGAGATGGAAGGTAAATTCTAACAGTTGAGTATGGGTTAGGAAAACAGAAACCTTTAGGTTATATCCTATTTAAATATATTACAAAAATATACTTACTGATACTTATTTAGGTGTGTCCTCATCCCCACTTAATTATCTCAACAATCTTTATAAAAAACTCATGAGAACCAATCATAGCAGTTAACATTTTAGGTGGGCTATAATTTTATATATAAAGTTATTATATACAGACAATGGTAGGCATATAGTTATAAAACCAATTTTGATGTCATTTTGATTGGGTAACATCTGGAAAGGAAACATGTCACTAACTTTTAAAGATATCTTTACTTTTATCAACTGATGCAAGTTAGCCCACTGTCAAACTATGCAAACTGAAAAGCTTTAGCCTAATATCACGTGTGTCCATTTATCTATGAATCAACTTAAATAGGGATTTTTGGGAGATAGTATATGTTTGAAGGTTAACACACACACACACACACACACACACACACACACACGTAGATATTAACCTAAATCACATAAAACCTTTATATTACCAAACTTTAAGGCTTTTGCTTATATGTGCCCTCTAAGTCTATTGGTCTTTGTTTAGTAATGAGCTTCATTCTGGCTCATTTTCTTCAGGGCAAAAATAAAAAGAAGAAGAAAAATAATATGAGTTTAAAAATCTTTAATGAAGGAGCTGTAAGTAGCTTAACCAGTTATTAAAACAGATTAAAAGACAGACTAACAGACAAAATAAAATTCAGAACACATTAAACAGTTATATCTATTTTCAGTGTTTTTTTGTTTTTGTGCAGGGTCTTACTACACAGCCCAGACTTGTAGTGATCCTCCTGATTTCTGCCTCCCAAGTGCTGGGATTACAGGTGCACGCCACCAGGCCTGGACTCTAAACAGCTATATTTAGTTAGGGTGAACTGTCAGAAAAATAATTTTCAAATGAAACCCAAAACAATATTTTTCAGTCAGTTAAGATTGGTAACAATGGGCTATTGTTAACCCCTTACATGAAGACTTAATCTAATTTTTTTCTCAATCATTTTTTTCTTTCTTTTTATGGTGAAGACCATTATTTTTTCTCTTTTTACATAAACTTTTTCTGCTTTTCTGACTAACTCAATTGGCTTCTCATTTTATCCCTCTAATTTTTGTAGCTTTCTTGATATGTCAAGAAATTAGTCACAAAATTAGTCACAAAATTAACTCTGAGGCGACCTTGTCCCAAATGACCCTGAGATGTGGCGTTGGTGGTATAGTGGTGAGCATAGCTACCTTCCAAAAGACCATGAGGATCTAGCCCAAAATATTTTTCATTTAGTCTTTTAAACTCTGTAAGAAGACAGAAGGGATTTCGTTCTACTTTTGTTGCATCTCAAATACCTTAGAGATGCTTCAGGGCCCAGGGCCAACTCTTTGATTATTAAGCTTCTTAAATCTCACATTTGGCCTTGGTCATTTTTAACATGATTAGTCCACCTAGGATCTTCACTTGGGAGCTTTTGTTTTGTTATAGTTACACCTGGTAGTGAGGAATGCTTTTCTTTCCCAGGCAAGCACAGCTACTCTTCTGGTCATTTCTTACCCCCTCACACATACACCTGGAGAATAAAATGTTCAGGGTAAACATCAGTTTAGCCCATGTGTATAATTAGGGCCTGGAAATTGATCTAGTTGTTCCCCTAGCTCCTGGGAATCCTCAAGTAGTGACTGCATTTCTGTCTCTCTCTGTGTCTCTGTCTTTACCTCTGTCTCTGTCCTATTTTCCAGAACTACTTGAAGCAAATCTAGGATTAGTTTCAAACAGAACAAGAGAGAAATATTTTCTCTCTGATTTAAAAAAAATCTTCATATTTCAAGGGCAATAACTGTTTGAAATTAAAAAGAGAAAACTTGTCCAGTTTAAAAAAAAAAA